AGTACCAGTGATTTCTGCAGCTGCCTCGACTCGGGCTTTGATTAAAGTGCACGAGAGGCTCATAAAAACCGGTCACGAATGGTGAAGCTTTCATTACTGTATAAACAAACACCTGTGCTGATGTGGGAAGCACCCATTTAGAGTAGCTCGAGTGAGAACAAGAAAGGGAGAAAGGGGGTAAGAGTATCAAACATGACTAGACTGGCGGTTGTTGGCCTGTTGAGTCTGATCCAGTCACAAATTCCCCATCGGCCTGGCACAAAATGCCGTCTGGGAGAAAAGAAGGGGGGGAATTAGGCCTCCCCTGTCATTCATCCTCCTCAACGAGCCTACGTGATCTTCTCTGTTGACGTTTGGATTAGGACCAATTTAGTTTATCATAAAAATCACTGTGTGCTTTAATTATATGCTGTGGCTTACATAACTTATTGCAAGCAACCGTTGCTTATAAATATCCATAAAACTAATAGGAAAACAAACAGGGCAGACAAATGGCAATCCTTTCAGGATTTCACAGGTTTAATTACAGACTCCTGAACCATTAATCATTCAGTACACACCGCATGACACTGCACAGTATAATCGCAATCAGGAATAAGCTCGAGGAACATTAAAATCACTTTGGCATAAAAAAAAAAAATTCTAGTACATTCACAGTGTATAAAAAAACAACAAATAAAAATTATTCTTATCATTCTTTTCAGCAGGTTGAAATAATATGAAACAATTAAATATTGATTAAAAATAAGTCTAAAACACCTGAGGTGATTTTCAGTTGAAACATAAATATGATCCGAAATGTAGTGTAACCAACATTTCCACATGAAAATCAGTTTGAAAAGAAATCAGATTTGTTCTGGTTCGCAGCCACAACCGACACATTTCCTCCAACTCAGTTATTCCTACCCACAAAATGAAAAAGCCCATGTTTTCTTTCTTTTTTCTTAAAATCACATCTCTCGGTTACGAAGCGCCGAAAAAGCGAACGAGACGGAATAAATCTGGGAGTGATTGTGCAGAAAGGAACGTGGAAGCGGCTCCTCGTACCTGCCTGAACTACTGCAAAGCTCCACTTAATCCTGGCAAACAGCTTGTGTCATAGATCACTATGTGAAGAATGTCAGTGACAGATATTAAAGTGGGGAGCAAGCTTTATTCCGGCCTTTATTTCTTTCATCACATTCAAAGCAGGTCGGGGTAAGCTCACCTATCTTGGCACTGATGAATGCGGAGCGCGAATTTAGTCTTTGTGATTGATTCCAAAGGGACATTAGTAATCTAAATGCCTTTGGATACGACTGGACGGACCTGAAACGACTCCCAGACAAACCGTGTTTTATATCTGTTTGATTGCCAAGGAGCAAGTCAAACAAGAGTTTTAGGATTTATCTTCAAAGCTAAACTTGAACTAAACTAAATGTAATTATTCCTTAGTAGTGTTGCGTGTAAGTTGTTAAACTTAAAATGATCTGTTGGCTATCCATGCATTTCCAAGCAGGTTAGGGTTGACTAAAGGGCAGCGAGAAGCCTGTTTGATGTCGGTGTAATGTCTCCCGCCTGCTTTTTTTTGTCATCTACACATCACCTCTAGCACTCTTAAATCGTAGTCTGTTAATGTGCAAAATGTTTCATGGTTAAAATCCTCTCAGCTCAAACTTAAAATGAGTCTAAAGACGCACAATCCCGGCCAGATCGACTCCAAAAGTCATGATTGTTCTAACAAAGATGAAGATGTGTGCCCTCTTGATCTGGACCTCCGGTTCGTTTAACTTCCGACACACTTGAGCACGAGTCTGAACTAAAAAGTGCAAAGGATGGTTAAATGTGGTGGGCAATCGCTCCCATGGGTCATTCACACCATACCAAAACATCCCTCCTTACACTCACAGAGTGAATTAACACGGCAGTCACGTCAACATTAGCTACATCTACACACTCCCCCTCTCACACACCGGCAAAGAGCCCATAGCAGATGGGAAATCAGTTTCCACTGCCATTCTCACACTCCAAGGGCCGGGCAGAGGGATTCCAGTTCCTTTTGGGCTTCTTTGTCCTTAAAAAAGAAAACAAATACAAAAGATTATTTGAAATGTGCAAAGTAAATCCATCCATTATCAATACCGCTTATTCCCTGATGGGGTCGCGGGGGGAACTGGAGCCTATCCCAGTGGTCAACGGGCGAGAGGCAGGGTACACCCTGGACAGTCCGCCAGTCCATCGCAGTATCACACAGAGACACACAAGGACAAACAACCACTCACACTCACACTCACACTCACATTCACATTCACATTCACTCCTAAGGGCAATTTCCCCAATCTCCAATCAGCCTAACATGCAGGTTTTTGGACTGTGGGAGGAAGCCGGAGAACCCGGAGAGAACCCACGCAGACACAGGGAGAACATGCAAACTCCACCCAGAAAGGTCCTGGTTCCCCCGGGATTTGAACCCAGAACCTCTTGCTGGGAGGCGACAGTGCTAACCACCACACCACCGTGCCGCCCTCAAAGTAAATCTGTCCCTACGAAAATATCGGATTTTTGTTTTTGCTTCATTGGCCTTCGCTGCTCTCAAAATTTTGACCGGAAATCAGAGGTGAGGGCAGCGTTTGCAGGGGAAGACCGGTTACCTCCTTGGAGACGGTGTTCATTGAACGAGCAGCTTCACACATCTTCTTGGCGTTCTCCCTCTGTCCCAGATCTTTAAAACACTGCCCAAAAAAGAAAAGGAGGACAAAAAGAAAACTGTCAACGCCTTCAGTTTTCCCGCACAACAATCACAGACCTGCTGCTGTCAAGTTTTAGCTACTGACCTTAGCCAGAAACACATAGTTGAGTTTCGAATAAGCAGGACGGATCTCTTCGACCTGCATTAAAGGCGAAAAAACAAACAAACAAACAAACAGAAGACACATTTATTTAGAGACTAAACTGCTCTAACATTCAAAGGTAAATGCCTGTTAAATTGCCTATTCTAACTGTGTCCTGTCCCATTTTCAAACCAGCAACATGTTAAGAAAGCTGCTGATCTCTACCAGCAAAATGATCAGAGATATTCCTGCATAATTCGGCTGATCTCTGCTCACGCTTTTCTGTCAGTAACACATGGTAGCTGGGGGGTAGCGGGGGGCCACCTGCAATGCGACGCGCCGCGGGATGTGCCGCGTTGGCTTTAAGTTTTGCAGCACGTCTTTTCCAGGTCAGAGGCGGCGTGTCGGAACAGGGAGCACTTAAATCAGATTGATGGGCGGGAACACGGGGAGGAGGCACGCACGGGAATACTGGCCAGAGGCAAAAGTATTTTCCCCACTATGTAAACATTTGAAATGTGGAAGCACATATTATTATTATAGAAAAGCAAGAACAAACAAAAAAAACGGCTGTCGATTTAAAAAGAAAAAAAAAAGGGAGCACAACCTGGAGGCTAACTGCTTCGGAACGGAGGGAAAAGAGAACATGCTGTAGGTCAAACTGGGTGAAAGCTCAACGCCTGACCATAAGCAGCTCAAACATCAGTGCCTGTTTCCGTACATTTTCCTAGAAACTATTGATCCTATGAAATCATTATCATTATTGTTATATCCCACCACTGTTTTGCAAGGCTTTTACATCATCAGTTGGGAAACCGCAGCAAATCAACTAAATAATTCTTAGTATTTAAAGGTTTTCGGCCATCTCACAGAACCTTGGTCTCTCGTCTGTAAGAGTTATGTAAAAAGTTACTCATTAGCACATGAGCTGTGAGCGGCAGACGTGAAAAGTGCGGCGGAGGGCACCTTTAGAAAATGCTTGAGCGCGTCCTCGACTGTGGCACTTGGTGGCTCTCCAAAAAGAGTGGCGGCAACTTTCCTCTCAATCCACGACAACTGAGCAACCTGCAAAACAAGGAAACATAGAATTGTCGTGAAAAAAGCCGGGCGCATACGCCATGCTGTTTTAAGCCGGGGTAGTTATTCAGAATTCTCACTTTCCTACCTGCCATTGAATGCACCCAGTGAATTCTGCAAATCCTTGCCCATACTATCATTATATCTTCATGCTAAAATGCAAAAGGCCGACTTAAAGTGACATCAGTTCGGGGACACCAGCGGCAGAATCAACAGTCTATCAATTACTTAGCTTTTAGAACTGAAATAACACACAACCATATCAACATCATTCACATGATGTTGATATGGTTGTGTATTTGCTGTGTATTTAATTTGGTTTTAAACACCATGTTTATGGGCTTTTATGCTATTTAAAATTTTATTAGATGGTTTCTAAAAACACAAATGTTCATTTAAAACTTGTAAGCTGAAAGCGACCCACAGATAATAGAATAACCGAAACCCCAGGGAGGGCACGACTATGTGAAAACTAGCGGTGGGTGACTGAATACGTCTGGCTGCACACTTTGTGTGGATGACCAGCGGGTCACGGATGCAGCAGCGTCTCACTGCAGCTGCGCTGTCGTGGTGGGATTTTTCAGGGTCAGCTGCCAGCTGAATGCAGAACAGTACATCGCTGTTGACGGTTCTGCACGCGGCCTACAAAAAGCTCCGTCTGAGAAAAATATCAGGTGTTCGGCCTCTCTCCTCCTTTATGTGCGTTCATGGGTCGTGGAGCCTAACCAGACAAATCTCTATAATAGCTCCCTGTAAGTCTGACAACTGGTACTGAGTTACATGACTGAGCAGCTCGTGACAAAACGAGAAACCAGAGGGAAAAAAAAAAAAAGAGTTGCCTGTGAGCCTTTATATCAAATAGCAATGGTTCTTCACTATTAGGAGAAACTACGGACAATTAAAAGAAGTCCCGATCTGCACTAATGCATTTTAAAAAAGGCAGAACCTAGAAAAAATGAGCCCAACAAGGAGGATGAGGCTAATGAATGAGGGGAAACTTTATGGAGGGGGTTTAGTAAAGGGAGATGGGGCGCCTTGCGGGCATGTGGGCCGCCATAATTCACAGGCTGGGAGAGGAGAGGTGTGAGGCGGAGGGCGGGGGGCGGGGGGTCACCTACAGCGTAGCACCAGCGGCCCAGCAGGTAGTAGGACATGGGGTCCTGCGGCTTCAGCTCGATGGCTTTATCCAGATGATCCTGGGAGGGGAAACAGAGAGAGAGAGAGAGAGAGAGAGAGAGAGAGAGAGAGACAAACACGAGACGGTTTTCACTGTTGATTCATGATACAGCTGCTGTTCCGCTGCCTTCTGTTCCGACCTGATCCGTCCTGCTTCACCAAGCCACAACTATTTCCCAAACACCTCGCACACACGCGATCTCGCCGAGCTGCCGCGCGCTGCGTCTGTCACGCACCCTCCCCTCTTTCTTTTCCATTCTCTTTGATGAGTTCTCTCTTCTCTTTCCCCCCCCCCCCCATATCTTCTCCTCCGCGCCGCCCTATCTCTCTCCCTCCCTCCGTCACCTGCCAAGAGCGGGGAAGGTGCGCGCAAGCGTTCGGGGAGGCCGCTGACAGGAAATAAAAACGCTACGTGCTGTTGGTCCATGCGCTGGCTTACATAAGCGGGCCTCTCGGGGGAGGGGAGGCTTCCCGGCTTGAGTGATAGGAGAATCATATGGGACAGGCCGGAGGGCCGGCTCCTGCATTACGATTACGGGCTGACTGCGCGCCTTACCTTGAAGATGTAGCCGTTCTTGATCTTGTTCTGCACCGTGTCGTACTCGGCCATGATCCCGCACATGATGGCATACCTGCAAGATACAACAGCAGAAGTCTGCGTTTCAGTCTGGGTTTGTCTTTGAGAGAATGCACGCGTCTGACACAGCGTGATCGGGAGCAAAAAAAAAAAAATAAAACGACGTGTGGCATGCCTCGGTTCGGCTTTAAGCCAGGGCAGGCCGTGGTGAGCACAGGAGGGACTAAGTCTGACCAAAAGTGCTGCTCTGCTTCAGCTGGAGGGATCCTCTAAAATAAGAGGAAGCCCCGAGTGGAGCTGCAGGAAGGGAGAGACCGGAGAGTTGAACCTGCTATCTGGTCACAATTCCAGACAAAGGAAACTCCATGACTGACAGTTGCACAGCCGTGAGCCTGGATGCTCAGCGTCAGACATGACATAAACTGGTTTTGTTTTGTCAGAGTGTCTTCGCCGGCGTTAGACGACGTCGGGGATCTTGTGTAAGCGCACCTCGACACCACTTCTAATCCAGATGGTTGATACCATGCTGAAGCAATAGACAAAGCGCGCCAAATATGCGGCGGCGGCGCTCGGGCCTCTGAGGCCGATCCGCTGTCATTTTGGGATCATTCGGGCGAGACTGGGGCTGAAAAATAAAACAATTAAGACTTTAAGTGGCCGCGAGGGGCCCCCTTAAAGATCTCATCTCACAGACTGTCTCTCTGTTGTAACATCGTCAGCCTCTCCTCTGTGAGTCCGGCTAATGGCGAGACCCCACCCCCCGCTGACCGCCAGAGGGGCTCTCAGTAACGCCACCTTTTCTCTGGGTCATCAACACTGAGCCACATCTCTGGGTGATCTCCAGTAAGGCTTCTCGTTACGCAACGGCAGCACAGATAAGCCGCTTCACCTTTTTTTTTTCCTTTTCTCTGGGCCGCTCATTAATACGCGAGCTTGGATCAATGGACAGGTGAAGGGAGGGAGGGGGGGACAAAGGGCGATTTCAGCTCTGGGGTCGGTAAATCGTCACGACGCCGGGCGTTTAAGGCGGAGAGGAGGGAGCTGATCAAAGTCTTTTCGCAGCGAGGCTGCCGCTAATTCTTTTTTTTGGGGGGGGTAGGGAAGCTTTTGGTTTAGCTTTCTTAAACAAGACATGATAATTTAGCGTGACAAAGACTATGAATGCCCATGGGATCCTACAAAGTTAGAAAAAACCAAAACGCACTAGAGCGACCACATGAGATGAACTGAAAGCGTTTTTCTGCATGAAAAAGCAACTGTGATAAGACGAGCATGACTCACATCCAAACACCCTGAAAAGTTATCAAAGGGTAAGATGATTTGTGTGCAACCGTAACCTGGAAAAAAAAGAAGGGGGGAAAAAAAGTGTTTATTTTCTTAGGTTCGCTCAGAGTGCGCCCACACAGCCGCTGACTGGCACTCCGCGAGTGGAGAGCTCCTTAAGCGAGATGCTATCTGCCTGTGTTTTGCTGCCTGGCTTCCAACAAAAACAGACTGCTGGATGTGAAGGCTTTGAGCAAACCCGTCGCCTTCTTCCCGTTTTAGCTCCTTTCGCACAGCTCCTCGTGGCGTCGACGCCTTACTGCTTCAACTCTGAATCCCTGTGTTTTTTCAGGAGCGTCCCCCCCTGACTCAACGGTGAGCAGCACCAGCAGAAAATGTCCTAAAATCTCAGATTAACCAAGACACAACTTCCTCCTCTTTTTTTTTTCTTCAAATCATGATAGCAACAAAAAAAACAACATAGGCCTAAATGAGCTATTCCCATCCTGGTCACTTAACACTGTCCATGGTCCTGAACGGTGAAATTATATTAGGAAAATCGTAACATAATTAGAACAAAGATTGACTGTTAACGGCATGTTTACGACAGTAGAAACTTATCCAATGAAACTAGAGATTTTTATGTATTGCAGCGGTCCCAGTTAGCACCACTTCCACCTGCTTTTTTAGATAAATGTTAAAAGTCTTCATATTACTAATAAATAGTTAAATATCTCACCTAAAACAATTGGCCTTTTACCTGTTGTGAACAAAAGACTTCTAAAACATTGCATTCTCATTTTATTTGCAATGCGAACAGCATCGCCATCTTTCCTTTATCTTAAAATCAACTGCAGGATGTCAACAAAAACCCAGGAGGCACATCTGCCAACCTGAGATAGCTTCAGCCGGCAAGGGAATCTATTTATTTTCCTCCCCACAACCACCAAGTGTTTGCTCACGGGGAATTGTTGGGTTCATCAGTCTCCAAAGCGCCCTGAGATTACCTCAGCTCTGCATTTCCAGTACATTAGCAGAACGGGATCAGACGGACTGAGTTGGACTGCTTAACTGACTTAGTCGACACAGCTACTTGCAGTTTCCCTAAAGGGTTTTGCACAATCTATCAATTAAGTCGCCTCTGTCTAGAACATGTAGTAATATGCTGATGTGATTAAATGCCATAAATCTAAGCAGCGGTGTGATGAGGAGACCAAATGCAGCAGCAGCATACCAGAGACTAATCGTCATCACGACCTGAGATTCGGCATTATCCTGGTAAGAGATGTGCAGGAGATTGCTCAACTGGAAGGTGCTACGAGGCAGGTTTTTGTGCCTTTGATCACTTTTCATTAGAATTAGCAGTCCCGGGCAATGCTTAATGGGTAATAAGTGAGCCAAAGGGGGCCTGAGCTCACGATATCAGCCCACGATAAGGCCAGTGAACAGTGGTGTCATCTCTAAGTTTGCCGTCATCGCAAGCCTGCAAGTTCTCCCCCCGAGCATAAATGAGCAAATCTATAAGTATGTTCTGCCTTTGGAGTTATGTTTGTCATAGGAAGTAGAGAGAAGTGTGACGAGGAAGGTATGAGATGGAACGTGAAGGTGCAGAGGGGAGTGTCTGGCCCTAAGGGGCCTGCCCGCTGTTGTTTACTCATTCCTTCCACATATGAGTTGAAATACTATCTCTCCATCACTATCTACGGCGAGAAAGGGGGAAAAGTCGAGCGGGGAGGGGAAGGTAGGCAGCAGCAAAACATGACGGTGGGGGATGAGTACAGGACTGTCCACAAAAAAAAAAGAAAAAGAAACCTACAAACTCTTCTGAACCCGCTCAATGAATTCCCCTTCTGTGCAGGGCAAAAAAAAAACAAAGGGCCTCAAGTGTCAGGTGCTTAACGGAAACGGCGGATTGTTTTTCAGTCTTCAAATTCAAACATAGAGGGCTCATTCAAAAGCAGAATGTTCCAGGTAGGACTGGAGGCTAAAGCGGGAGGAGTAACCGGAGAGATTCACACAGTGTGTGGGGGTGTGTGAAACCCGCTGACACACTATTTAGCCGGTGACAGACTGAGCTGATATACATTGGATTGCCTTTGTTAATAAAACAGGGACGGGATTTGCGGCTCCCTGTTGAGCGTTCCCACAGAGGTGAGACAGAGCACAATGGGGTCTGAGCGTTGTGCCAGGGCCCTCCACGGCTACCGACGATGAGGCAACAGTTTAAAGTTAAAAGTGACTCTGTGCCCACCCCCTGCTGTAGCTGGCACTGCCACAGTCTCCCTGCCTAATCCACAGCCTTTGTATCATCGGTGAGGCCCTATAGCCAGGGATTTACAGGGGCTGAATTCGCACTGCGGAATCATTGAAAAAAACAAAGCCGGTAACACAAGAATGTAATCGCATCTCTCAGGCGTCAGCCTGCTGAGATTATACAAACAAGCCTCACACTCACGAAAAACCACACGCATTTGCATCGCACACAAACAAACAAACAAACAAAATACACCTTATCCTGCATCCCAGTCGCGCCCACACATGAGCTTTTGCGAGCTTTGATTAATTCCCGATAACGGACACCTTGTCAAGGCAATATATTTGTAAAGAGGTCGGAAACAAAGGCGGTACAGGAGTGCTTTGAGGTCTGAAACCTGATAAGGGATATCTGGAGGTATCTACAGTGACACGCATGGAAAAACCTAAAAATGGGCTGCAGCTTTAGTATCCAGCTAACTGGTGCTCATACAACCACAAATACTGCCCTATTTGTGTGTGTGTGTTTGATGTGTCTCCTCTTTTAGCATTCAATTCATTAACAAAGATCAGACTGAATATCACTCAAGTTCAGTCCTTAAAAACAGGGTGGCTCAAGACTTTGTTTATTTGGAGATGGATTCTGATGCCAACGTGAATGGATCTGCATTTATGCAGAAATAGGATACAACTAACAAATACTGTGTAAGTGAAAGATGTTTCTTGATCGTAAGAAAAAAATGCAGTTTTTGCCTCTTAACGTAATTCTTTCTAATTTCCGGTGGGATGTTTTGTTTAGATTTTTGTTCTATTTCCTTTCTTGGACCCACTCCTAAGAATTCACTGAGAGCACGAGTCAGCTCTAATTAGCATGTGGGTCATTCATTGTGCTGTGCTGGCATTCTCTTGGGTTTTGGACCTGTTGGGAAGTCTTTCAATGACGGTACTGTGGCTTTTAAACGGAGCCCGGCTGCTGCTGCCAGCACCTGGAGGAGTTCTGTGCTGTTTCTGCCGGTGCCATGGAAGCGCTGGCAAATTCAAGGGCCAGAGAAAAAGAGTGCAGCCAGTGCATGCTGAACACGTGACCGTCACACCAACCTGACAGTAGTCCTGTTGAATATTTTTTTAGTTGTTGCCTTCAGTTTTTTGGCCCTAACGCAGCTCGAAATGGAAAAAAAAGCATGGATATCTCCATGTATAGTACTAGTTATGTACATGTCTACTTAATCTAAGCAATATGAGGCACATTTAAACCTGAGACTTCAGTGCTGTTAGTCATAACGTTTGATGGGACCCCTGGAGCGTAATTACCAAACAGTTTCTATATAAGCCACCTAGTGTCACAGTGGAGCTTAAAAGGTGCAGTCTGTGAAGAAAGGCCCTTCAGATGAGCTGAAACCAGTGGTGGGCCGTCAGGGCCTGCAAGGCCTTCTCTGAAGGCCTAAGAAAATATCTGAATCACAGACTGATGTTAATGATATTTTGTCCATAAAAAAGGTACTAAATATCTCTAAATAGTCTGTCAGCTTCCTTTCATAGCTTCTCCCCTGGTTGCGCTGCTTCCAGACATGTATTTTCATATAAAAGCATTTAACCAATCACATTTCAGACATCCTTTGTCGCTAGGCAGGGTCAAAGTCAAAGATGTCTGCCTGGAGGCCTTCACAATCCGTTCTGCAGGCCCCCCCCCCACAGAAAATACATGTCGAGTACACTGTTGCTTCAACCAATCAGATGTTAGGTTGGTGATGCCAGGGCCTGCGCGAAGGCCCCGGAAATGCCACCGTACCCACACCCGCTGATTGGATAGTCAGATATCCAATCAGGGCAAAGCTAGCAAACAAACCGAAATATAGTTGTGTTATTTAGTGTAATAGCTATTTTATTATTTCGTGGCGGATTTACTGTCAAGACCATTTTCAAAACGGACTTTTCAAGAAAAGTAAGTGAGTAAAATGTTGTTTTTTTTCCTAAATGGTATTGCGAGTTTATGAGGACATTATTGATGTTTTTGTTTTGTTTTGTTTTTTCGGGGGGGGGGATCGCCGCTGTAGCTGCAGGAGTAGAAGACTTGTGCAGCCCTGATCTTTAGACTGTATTTTAGGATTGTCCTGATCCGATATTTGGATCGTATCGGCCGGCATGAGAAAATGCCAATCGAGACTCCAGATACATTTTTTTTTAAAGTCCGATCCCACCCGAGCATTAGCATTAGCATTAGCATCTCCTAACCCACAGGTCTGTGTAAACTTTAGTTGTTATAAGAGTAAATCCCTGTTCAACATGAGTCCGACAACTAAGTAAGTAGAAAAAAAAAATCAACTTTAATACAAAAAGCTGGATCGGGACATCCCTACTGTATTTCTACATATTAAGATGATTTCTATAACCATAAAATAGTTATTGAGGGGTGAATTGATTCAGACGGAGCACTACTGAAGGCCTAGGTGTAAAATGCACGGCCCGCCACTGGCTGAAACTGACGCTAAACCTCCTCAATTATTTCCAATGACGGCATTCTCTTAGTTTTTTTTGTTTTTGCCGTGTAGTTCCTAAACCGTTGAATAATTCCACTGTGAGTTCCAGCAGAAAGAGAAAATCACCTCATGATTTTCCTCCACATTAGGTCGGGCAGAAATTAGTATGTAGCTGTAACTTAATAACCACTACTTATTATAAAGAGTCATTGTTTTGGATTACTGCTGGAGGCAGGAAGGGGTTCCCAAACCGTTCTTTAAAGCAACGGAACCGAATAAGCCCCTGACAGAAGACACACCATTGTTTTGTTCCTATGCACGGTTCCAGCAGCAGAGTGCTGCAGCGTCTCCCTCGTTTGCCTGCAGTCAGCCCAGGACGCTTCCAAACAGTTTGCAGCACAGGCAGCTTTCTCTCTGGCTTAGCCTGGTTTCTCTTTTCGGATGTCGCCCCGAACTACAGGCTTTAAAGGCAAACTTCCCCCACGTGGACTTGTTCTGGACGGTTTCTCTAGGACGCAACAATAGGGGTCTGTTCAGATCATCCTCGCCCGACCTATCAAGCTGTCAGTCAGAGACATCTCTGTGAACAAACGCTGCATCTCGGATATGAAAAAGGCCGTGTTTTGCGGGGAATTTCCTCCAACTGTGTTAAGTCCAGCTTCTTCAGCTATGTCTGTTTTTTTTACTTATCTAAAAAGAAAAGAATATAACACGAGTTGCAAATATCACACATTCACTGATGTTAGAGAAAGAAGAGGCCGACAGGCAGTTTCAGTGGCAGAGCAGGAAGCAACTGGGAGCTCGTCTAAACAACATTTGTCAAACTGCGACAGGCTGGACGGCGTTCATAAAAACAAGTGACACGTTTTCTCACGCCGTCTGTTCTCTAAGTAAACAGTAACCTCAGAAAACTTCCTTGCAACAGTGCCTGGCACCGTCCCCAATCCTCTGCCTCCGCCCCTCGCAAAAAGTGGTTTTGCCTACTTCGACCTGTCCGTCCAACTTAGCATTTGTTCTTGATTTAACAACCTTACGAATTCCATTAGTGAACACGGGATTAGGCGCTAAGCTTTTTTTTCTTTTCTTTTTTTTGTTGCAAAGCCACGGCGCTTAATTAACTAAACAAACACAACCTTCTGTTTCACTTAATGTCTTGAAAGCAGCCGTGCATAAATGAGCGAACGCTGATGATTCTGAAAAATACACTTTGAACTAATTTTAGATAAACCAACATACTGTATTAATAATGTCCATCCTTTAAAGTTAGGTATGGCGATTCTATTGATAATCCAGCTAAAGATTCTGTGCACGATCAGCATTCAAGATTTGACATGTTTCAGAGGTATGCACTGCGACCTGTGCAAATACACATGAGATTCTTGCCACGAGGCCCACTTTGTACGGCTGATTAAAAGCAGGGGGATTTTTCTTTTCGACTCGCGCAAGCCTTCCAGGGGAGCTATTTGTTAGTTTTGAAGTGATCACTGAATCACACCACAGGGACATGCAGTAACAGCAGCCCATTAATCGCACCAGCAGTTCCACCCTCAATGTCAGCCTGTCCTCGGCCGTGTTTACATTCCTGAAATGGATGCGACGCTGAAAGGTGGATGAGGGGCTGACCCGAGGGGAGGCGATGCCTGGGGCGGGAAGGGATGCGGCTATCTCGCAAACGTGCCCCCCCCCCCCTTGTTCCACAACTATTCACCTTGAGCAGAGTGCAAAAAACTAAACAAAAGTGTCAGCTATTATTTTTCATTTCACAGTTCCTCGACTACCAAAAGCAATACTGGAGTCACGAGTTGTTCAGGTTGTGACATCACTCAAAGCTCGGGCCCCTCCCCGCCTCAATCAAGCGGGGAAAGCACCTTTGGGCTTTTTCGTGAACGCGTTTGCTCAAAAATCAGTCCGTGATGGCACGTCGCATGCCATCGAACCATTTGCGGGTGGATGTTCGACTGACTTATGCAGCTGTTATTATGCGTGGCAAAGGAAAGAAATGGTAAAAAAAACAACAAAAAAAAACAACTACCCACCACTGATGACTTTCGGCGCATGTCGGATTTAAGCTCACGGCCTCCTCGCCAACGAACTTCCCTAAGAGATGAAAAGAAAAAACACACAGAGACAAGGGTCCTTTAGTGAGCTTTGAATCCAACTCGCCCCGCACCCTGACGGGCTTGTGGACTAGCTGAATCTAGAGGTGTACAACAGGACACACATAAATCAAAAAACGCCAGCAGAACTCATGAAATGCAGTCCCGGAGGGAAACTCTATTTTGAATCCATCACTGCTCAGTAGCAGTTTTTTTTCTCTTTTTCCTCCTACTCTGTTAATATCTGAACAAATGTAAAATACGATGCTCTGACAGGGGGGGAGACAACCCCGATGTTCAGACAAAGGTGTCTTTGCAGGAAGCACCACGGCAGCTTCGATTAGATGAGGAAAGTTTAAAGCCCTGAGAAACAGGTCCACCCGGTCTGAGACTCCCAGAAACATAATGACTGTTCTCGGAATTGGAAAAAAAAGCATTGTTATAAACAATGAACCTCTCAGTGATTGACAAATGAGGTCAAAGGAACAACTGTGTCATCATGAATTTGCAAATAAACCGCTGATGGTTTGTTGGTGCCTAAAAACAGCAGCTTCCGGTGATCCCTTTCCCTTTAATGTTTCCGACACAGTTTATAGCGACAGATTTGGGAATGAAATCCACCTCTATCTTTATTACCTTGTCTGTGCATCCTTTTTTATTACATGTTTTACAGCTGGACTCAAGCGAATCCTTGGAGTTCTGTCTCAGCCACAAGATCAAAGCTCACATTGCAAATCAGCAGCAATGACAACAGCCGGGTGTCCGTTGTTCATTTATTCTCATCCAAAGGGCGTCTCTCGTTGATGGTTTGCATTTATTTAGTTTAAAGAAAAACAAAAAGATTTAATGGGAATTAATTCATTCATATGACATGACTCACCAAAGTAGGTAAAAACATTTAGGATCGTGCCACAATCAGATGTTATCAATTGTTTTTTTCCTTGGCTGTGGATGTCCACAGCAGTGGTTATTGTCTTGTTGGAGTTTTTCTTCATTAAACGAGTTTGATTATGCGTTTAGACATACTGGCAAAAGACGTAGGGATCCCCAGTGTTTAATTTGGAAGCTTTATTTTTGCAAAAGGTCACCTATTCATTGAAAACAACTCTAGTGTACTGACCAAACTAACAGGTATAGTAAAACTGGGGATCCTGTCTCTGAAACCCAAGCAGAACAAAGGGAAGTCATTGCTCCACTTCAAACTGTAATCTTGGAAACCACAAACCAAACCAGAAATGCGGGTGTTATTATGAACTCACTTGACTTGACAATCGATTTGGATTTGGGCCAGCACATTGGTTTTGCTTTTAAAACAACAGTCGAGATTCTTGACAAACGAGCCATTAAACGAGGCTATGTAAATTACCGGTTTCTGCGTGGGTCTTCTTCTCCTCCAGGGTGGCGCTGATGTCGTGAATGTCGCAGTAAGCGCGGACCAGCCGCCAAAGAAATGCTGAATTCTGCCCAAACTACAGAAGCAGGACAGAGTTAAGACAGGCTGCCATGCACTAAGCTGCAGAGAGGCAAACATACGTCTGCAGAATGCTTGCACACCTCCCCTCTTTTCTCCAAAAGGATGTCCAGACTTTCCCTTTTGTCCGACTCGCTGCCCTGATGCAAACAGTCGATTCTCTCCAGCAGCGCCGACAGCTCGCACGCAGGTTCCTCCTCGTCCCTCTGCTCAGCGTCGCTGGTCTCGTCTTCTTCGTCCGAGTCCGTCAGCGCCGTTATGTACCTGCAAGCGTACACAAACGGCAAAAGAGAAGGTGCAGACTGATTTTAGTGTCAATATGTGCAGGGGGGGGGGTGAGAAAGCTGTATTCAAACAGCCTGCTTCAGAAAGGTGGGCATCGAAAAGCAGCCCTGGATAGAGAGGGGCATTTAAACCGAATAACAGTGGAATTGCTGCATCTCACTGCCTGCTGTAGAACCAGGGTCTTCCCGTAAAGCGGGAGAAAACACTCAGAGCAGTCGCAATTGTAACCAGCACTTCTGTCAGGTGCCAATTACGAGCGATCAATCCCCGCGGCCTGTTCGCGCACACTGGGAATGTTTACACAAGTGGGACGCCTAATCGTTTCTAAAGTTTATTTCTTGACGTCAGACGCTTTGGAGGGCTTCCAGGAACACAGGGGGGACTTGCTCGGCGAGGTGGGGCGTGCGGCGCTGGCATTGAGAGGTTTCACGGCGCCGGTTCAACCAGCACAAGCATGCACTGTCACCCAAGGCTCACACTTGAGAAGCTGGGGCAGAAATAACGCTGTACTGAAGAAGAGGAACAAATCAAAGACACAGGCACAGGTAGGAAACGTTAAAAGCCTCTGCTGAGCGTTGGCAGCAGCTGCACGTGCGTCACTGGCGGTTAGAAGAATATTTCCAGCCATAAGCCCCGTTTCAGAGGGGGATGTGTTAGAGCAGGCCACAGACAACAACACTGTGAGCCCAACAGGTGCCTTGTGCCGAGGGCTGCCTGCTAATTCCACATCCAACACACACACACACATGCAACCCAGAGTGCGGTGATTACAGACATAATCTGAGCAGCAGCCACCTCTCCTCTCTCCTGCCTTTGGGGCTCAATTCTACGTGGCCTTTTAACAGCAAATCCACTTGAGGTGAGATCTGCTTTAAAGCCGATCTTTCACACAAATAATCACGCATGTCTATTTTTTGTCTTTTAGAGGAGCCAAAGGACTTATCTCTGGTATTAATTCATAAAGATTATTAATTCTTACAAATAGAAATGCCTCATAGGTGCTCAGATGGGACATCCATGTTAAATGCTTCACGTTCATTCATTCACTCCCAGATTCATTCATCAGTCTGTTTTCTCTCCCTCTTGCTGGTTATTTACTGTGTGCACTAGGGAAGACGATGCACTGAGCGACCGGCGCATTCCTGTCACGCCATTCCACGGCTCACTAAATCCCTTGAGTTGAAAGGCAAAAGAAACTGAGGATGTATTTGAATCGCTATGTGCGTTTATGTAACGTATATGCGCTGCTGCAGAAAGTTTGGAGAGTTAGACACACAACTCTCAAAAAAATAAAAAAAATCTGACAAACCAGGCCTTGATACTGTCATTAGAAATTTCACACTGGCCGGCTACATGATTTGATGTGGGTCACACATGAGCAGAAATGAGGACAGAAAGGGTTAAAATGCTAAGATTTAGACTGCTTTAAGTGTTGTTTGGTAATCTGATTAACCAAAATGTATTCACCAAAATCTATTCTCTTATACCGGAACAACAACGACAAAAAAGCTATGAGGGCCAACATGATTATTTTCAATGATTTTTCCTTATCTAAATTTAATTGTTTGAAGGGAAAATTCATTTATGTCTTTAAACCACCTTTTTTTCTCCAGAAAGGTTCTCTTGAATTCTCATGTGAAACAAGGAGCCTTTGAAACACTATGTAGCCCATGCTTTCATTTTCAACAGGCTTTGTGCTCACTGGGGGGACGGCAGCCATTCAGTGTGGAGATCCCAAAGGATGAATAAAAAATCAAAATCTAAGCAGAACTTAGCAATGGCCATCTCCACGGTTACCGCCCTCTAAACAAACCTAGGTTACCATCCCAACCTGTCTGCGCCCTGGAAACACGCAGACCCACTTTATCTAGCCAGCGTTTCATTACACCCCTCTGACTGAAGAGAGACCACATGTTTATCCTGTATCCATCCTCAGGATTAACAGTAAAGTGGCCCCCCTACTTTTCATACTGCTTAACCACCCAGCCGGCAGCACTGATGTCTTTCTCACCATGTCTGGGGAAAAAAAAAAAGTGCAAAAAATAACCCGTCTTTCATCTCTCACAGATGACATTACAAGTCAATAATGAAGGCAGTTAATTCATGGTGTGTGTTTACGCTGTCATGCTGGTTTCATCTCTACTACACCACTATAAATAGCACCTCTGTGGTAAGGCCTTGTTCTTAAAATAGCACGTATAGATACTGGGGAGTTCACGCCATAGTGCACAACATCCTTTCACTTGTAATTTTGCCAAAAAAGAAAACAGTTTCGTGTGAGCGGATGGGTTGGCATCCAGGGAATGAGACTCGACTCAAAGATAATAGAAGAAAGGCAATAAAACTACTGGAATCTGCGGACAGTTTCGATGATATTTTGACATCTTTTTGATGAGGATTTATGGTTTAAACTGTTTGGGTTAGCGGTCAGCATTAAAAAGCTAAATCCCTTTTTCCCTCAACAAGGGAGCCGGGTGATGTCTAGTTGCAACTACAATGCAGACATTTCTGCAAAATAACAGGAAAATGTGATCAAATTGACAAAATATGTATTAAAGAATTTATGACAGAGGCACCTGCACTATTATCCCAACTGTAAAAGCTTTAATATTACATATCTATCGAATCAACCAGTAGCGTTCATATCCCATTATTAAAACATAACCTCACATCGACTTATTTAACATCACATGACAAGGCACCCTGAATAAGAGCTTTTTACAAAAAAGTGATTGAGACCATAGAAAAGCCTGTGCCTTTCAAGCAAAAAAATAAAAATAAAAATAAATAGCTAAATAAAGGAAAACGAACCAGGAGGTGTGGGTGGTCTATGGAGCATGTCGGTCAGCCACTGTGTTGAGCTCTCAGCCACCCGTGAAATCAGCAAATTGAGAAAAGAAAACTTGAATCTAAAAAAGTAGTTTAGAACTTTTTTTTTCCGAACCATTTTTTTGTTTGTGTTTTATTTTTTCCTTGAACAGACTTTATGGCCTCATATTAAGACCATAGTGGTCAAACTGGATACGGCTCGGGCAGACTGAGGACAGATCGAGCTGCCCGGCGTGTCGGCTGCGAGCCCCTGGCACTGCTAAAACTCCCATGAATGAATGCGTTTGTTTGGCTGAGAGCCTTTCATCGAGGAGTAAACCTGAGCATACGGACCAGAATGTCTTGGGCACCAACAGGTGTGGGCCGCAACCTGCGTGACGTCACGTGGAAGTCCGACTAAATCTTTTAATCACAAAGCAGACAATGAGCTCCTTTTCTGGCTTTCTAAACATTTCTGTGTGTTGAACGGGCTTGCCTCTAACAAAACACAACTCCTGCTTTAATATGCTTAAATCAACAACTATTTGATGTCAGACATGCTTATTTTTGGTGGGGGGGGTAATGTCCTTGAGCTACAGCGATGCCATCTAAATAAACTCAGTGGGAACTGTTTGGGGAATTACAAGTTCCTACAAGACACCTTTAGATGAGGCCTCTGACAGCTTGGCATGCACACACACTCACACACACACACACGGTGTGATTGATGTGTCTCCTTACCTGCAGAAAAAGTAGCTCTGAGGAAGTCTATGTGACACATGAGGAATGAATAGAGTTAACAGCTGAGACTTTGAGCCAATTGCTCCTCTGTCGTTTGCAGGCTCTGGCACTCTGAACCCACGCTAGCCCTGCCAAAACTGGTCGCACCTGAAACACCTCAGTAAATACGCAGAGTCAAGTTCAGTGACCAAAAAAACCCAATTTTTTTTTTTGTTAACTTGGTGCTCGCAATTAAGCAGCTACTTTGAGAAATCATTAAGCTGCCAAGAGCAATCCCTCGCCTACTCAAACCTGCACGGTGCCCCCTGCCGGACACCTGTTCGGCCTCAATCAACTCAAATTTAGCTAAGCTGAAGATATCCCCTCGGCTTGGAGACTGAAAGACAGAGAGGGAGAAAGAGAGAGAGAGCACAGTACCCTTCCTTCAAACACTGAAGAGCTGCGCCTTCAAACTTCCACTCTGCACCAAGCAGCGAACATGCTAATCTAGGCTAATGGTGCGGCTTTGGGTTTCAGCAAGCTTTAAACCCGAATTTAGCCCCGACGCTTCGCGTCTCGGCTCCTGCTGGGATGTGGTGTTGAGATGTCGGGCTCAGAACACTTCCAAACCAGCTGAGCAGACGCGAAAGGGCCTTTAAAAAATAAAAAAAAAAGCATGCAAGGATTAAGGATGTTTACTGGCTCCTTTGGAGGAACACTGCACACTCCCTGGGGCACTTCAGTCCCCCTCCCCCCCACTGCTCATGCAAATAACAGGGCGGCAGAAAAGGCTCTTTAATTATGGAAGGTGTGTATGTGATGGGATTTCTTTTAAGGGATAATTCCCCAACTGTAATTAAGGGTATTTGATGGGGCCGACGAGTATCACTCACAACCTGTGAACGAAAACTCCTAGAGGGCAGTGTTAGATTACCCCTCTACTCCTCCTGCCACCGGGGCGGGCGATGGTAACATGAGTAAAGGCAGACTGACCCTAAACCTTAAGCGGTTATTCATCATGAGTAAGGGCCGGTGTAATACGATGCCGCTAACCGTCAAGAAACCGTCTCACTTCCTCTGCCAACAAACATACACGAGTTGAAACTTTTTGACACTTCCTACTGGTTTTGTGCAACTCCTGACACGAGACGGGTCAAGAAAGAGTTAAAGCTGGTAATTCCCATGAACCCTGCTGACTTCGGGATGTGTATTTGCTTCTAAACCAAGTTGCCTATAAATTGTTTAAGCATATAAAGACGCGCAACTTAAAATGAGCCTGTGCCGTGTCTTCAAATGGCAGAAAATCTTTACATTTAAATTTGTACCTTCAGGCACTTTAATATGAGGATCCTGTCACGGTGGCAGCATTCAGCTGATCTCATTCATTTGGTTACTTCAAGCAAAAACTTCAAAGATAACACTTTTAACAGGCATTAATGATTAAAAAAACACCTTGACATGGAGGACCTTAGATTGTTTTAAGGAATTAACCTCACCTCATGGTGAGGTTATTGGAAGGTATTTATTAATCTCACACACCAAGATTAAGACACCATAACAAACCTGGTCTTAGAATGAGGATTGTATGTTTAAGAAGTCATCTTAAAAAGAATAGAGTATGTTTAAAATGAGCCAAACAGCATGTTTGAGACTCGCCGAAAACATGGAAGAAGGTCCCATGGTCAGATACGACTAAAATTGAGCTTTTGGGACATCAAGGAATATACTAGGTCTGGGCCAAACTTAAAATTTTCCCTAAATGAACACCATAGCCACAGTAAAGTATGGTGGTGGCAGTACCATGCTGTGGGAAATCCTCTTATCAGATAGGACTGGGAACCAGGCCCACAGTCAGGGAATGATTGAAAGTGGCAAACACGAGAAATTTCTGGATGAAATCTTGTTTTAGATTGGGATATAACTGCCACCAGGATGATGAGGGAAGAGGCACTGCAATTGTAAAGCCCACCAGTTAATTCATACTTGTAGATTTTTCGAACAAAAATCAAAAGGGTGAATACTTTTCCTAGCAACTGTACAACCAAATCCAAAAACTGCATACAGGCTCCTGCTTAATCCCCTCCATTAGCAATAAAAGGAAAGAAGTAGTATCATTCTCATGATAAGCTTCCGGAACACTTTAACTATGGGGTTAGGGGGGCAATGCAGTTGTACTCAGCCTCACAGTGCCTTCTTGGCACTTCAAGAGTTCTGCTTCCTACAAAAACAACACAGAGGCCATAATAGGTTAAGAAAGTGGCTAAAGCATCCATTAAGTACACTTCAGGTTTGTCTGTTATGGATAAACCCGCTCACGTCCAAGAAAAACACAACTTATCCCTGAGTGCTGAAAGCATCAAGGCCTCGGATTAATCATCACCGTTTAACTGTGATACATTGTTTGTTTCCTTTTGTTTTTTTTGGCTTTTTTTTTTGTGCAGCCTTTAAATGGTTGCCCATTCAAAAGGAAGCCATCTGTTACTTGTGTGTTGTGAGGCTGGCGTGTGTTCAGGGTGGCTTGGCTGAGAACGGAGGCAGATGACTGGGCAGGCAGTGCCTTGGATCAGACTGCTGCTCCCTGCCTGCACCACAGGCAAACGTGCACACTGCCAAACAGTTTGGGGTGTTTTAGCATGCAAAACCAGCAAGCCAGCAAGTTCAACAGGTAAAGCAGGAGGGACTGAAAGCTCTCAAATGCTTATCGAAGATCCTCCCGTAAGTTTGTGGAAACAAATCTAATTGGAATTAATTTATCATTAAACCCCCAGTTAATAAATTGACCTGTTGTTTATTTTTCTTATCTTGATTTTTTTATCAAATAGGAAACATTTCCTGTATAAGATTACTTGGTTTCATTGAAATGAAGTGCCTGAAGTACTTGCAATTAGATTAGATTAGATCATTGGTAGTGCTCATTTCAGTGCAGGTAAAAGTTTCAAATGAGACTGTAATGAAGGTAAATGACCAAAGGATGTCACACTAATAAGCCGGGCTGTCACACCCAGAAAGAGCTGCAACGTTATTGTAAACAGTGGAATCTGCTGGACAAAATGTGTATTGATGGCACTATTGTAAGCACTGTCTGAAGAATACCCAGCAAACTGGATTAGATTTTGCACCAGCGTTGATAAATAAGTACCTAAAGCTAATATTTTAATGACTGACTTGTTATTCAAACTGCTTTGCCAGTTCTGATTCAGAATCCAAATAGGTCAGTGGTCAAGGCTCACTGACAAATAAATAGGACTACAAAGCCTTTTTTTATCCCATTCCTAGCTACTTTGACCCTTTCAAACACATTCTAATGATATCTCTTAGTCTTTACAGTGTTACAAGGCTAAGAATATTTTTAATCTTAATGGAACACACATTCTAACATAAATCGGTGGCAACGTGGGATTCAGTGTTTTCCTAAATAACATAACTTCCAATTGCAGGTCAATCTCTACCTGATAAGGTGACAACAATAAAACTCTAATATTGTGGAGGGTTTAGTTACTTTGGGATTGCAGAGGGTCTATTGGACTTTTTCTTGATTGTATTTCTTTTTTATTCCCTATTAAGTGCAAGTACAAGTGAAACTCCTCTGTTACAGCCACCAGGTTAGTAACACACCAATCGTTTTTTGTTTCCTAATAGCATTTTAAGCTCATTAAGAACTGGAATAGCTGGTTTTGTATTCCATGTAACAGACTATGTTGGGTGTACTGTTGAGAGCAATAAGCAGTTAATCTAATAGCTGATGAGTGTATGCTGACTTGGACATCTTTCCTGTGCGAGTTGTTCATAATTTAGGGTGGACAGACTGTTTCTGTCTGGGTGGGTGAGAAAATAGGACTGTTATTGTGCCTCTAATGGCTGAGCATCCTATTCAGAGAGAGAAAACGGGAATCAACTATCTCTTCGTTGATTTTATTTTTCAGTATGTTTAAGCTTGATCCAATAAAAATAATGGAAAGTATTTTGATTCTGCTCAACAAAGTTGGAGAGTACCTGATAACACCCTCCTACTGTGTCCTTGCTTGTAATGCTTCCCCTCTGCATCCCCCTTACATTATCACTATACAGCCAACACAAATGCTCATTCAGGGTAACCACAACATTGGACGTGAACATCCACTTTATAATGAGAGTCTGTATGTACAGATTCCTTCAGACAGTGTATATAAATTATATAAGATAAACTTAGTTTCTCAATATTTCCTGTAAAGCTTATTCGAATAAAACTGAGCCAATCTAAGCCAAAATGTTTAGTTTGGATTAAATATAATAACAAGCTAAAGCTTAATATTTTCTTTTTTATGATTATCAATATTGTGATGACTTTACACTCACCCTCCCTCACTCTCAGCTTCCTCTGAGCTTCGGCCTTCCGCTCCAGCAATGGCAGCGTTGCCTGAAGGCCTTTTCCTTCTTGTTGGTGTTGTCCTGTGAAGCGGGCTGCTTCGCCGTCCCTTCAGTTCGTCCCTGACCTGTTCTTGCAGTGTTGGCAGAGCATTCTTCAACGCCTTCATCTCATCCTTCAGCTCCGACACACACCTGAGCAGGGCCTCGAGGCGCTCCAGCACCTCAGCCTGACCCCGGGGCACACCGGCACCGTCCACCAACATGACGCCGGAACCCTGCTCATATGTGCGGCTCATGTGGAGCCCGGGACACGAGTTTCTGCGTTTGTACCGAAAACCCTGGTAGCACGCCACAGCCAAGCCGATGCCGGCCACTCCTGCTAACGCGCCCAGAACCAGCACTTTGCTGTCAGCTTGAGCCATCCCGCAGGCCTGCTAAGAATTCCTAAAAGACACAAATGTTGTTACTGACTTCACAGACATTCTAAAAAGAAATTTTAAGGAAAGGCTTATTTTACAGCACAGATTCTGAAAAGTGACATGCAACAAAAGCAGATGTTGGAGAGAATTTCTTATGTTGCTGTTAAACTTAACCTAGCTCTAACTTATAACAAATGACTGATACAGTGACTTCACAAGACAGTGTGAGCAGAATTAAAAATAGATTGATCAATTCATAGAAAGCCCACTACATTGTGATGCTGAGTCCAGGTAAAATCTCTGTATAAACGAATAGTTGACAGCTTCCTCAGAGGAAGCTGGAATCCAGAAGTAATATAATGAAAATCTGAAGATGTCATGGTTACATTAGCTCTAACTCAACATTATGGATTGTTAGCTGTAGATGGCTTAGAAAACATGATATCAAACACTGGACATCGAGAGTCTGCCCTCCTGAGCGTCCGTCTAGACTAGAGGCATTGGACTGTTTACGGTACTATGCTTATCTGGCTGGCCAGCTAGCTTAGATAATTGGATAACCACTTAATCACCAAGAGGAGCGGGTTGACCCAAGGGCCAAAAACAAGCTCCAATAGCCTCAAACAGAAGAATTTAACTCTGACATTATGCCGGTTATGACTTCTGTTTCGGTATATTACAGTGTCATAAAGAAGCTAATTGTGTTAATAAGCAGGCAATGGTAAAGTAAGTCGTTTTGTAAACACAAACAGTATGTCAGCCATGGCTACCGGCCAAAAAAAGGCATTCAGATATTTCTCTCTACACAATTTTTAACATCTCATATACATGGAGTTTAACGACAAAGAGATACAATTCACGTTAAAAGTTGCCTTACAGTACAGGTGAGCTGCCGGACAGGGTGCCACCTATGTTGTCTTGACAGCCCTCTAGTACAACAGTGAAAACATTCCGTGTGGACACCGGCGTCACACGGAAACGTTCCGTCACCAACAGCGTCAACGGAACGATTAAAAATGATTGTCCTTGAAATACACACACACGATTTCAATCGTAAATTCAAAATCTGTTTAACTCTTGAATCTAGTTTACGTAATTGTGGTTGTAAATTCAAACTTAATTTATCCCTGATAGGCTCTGTATTTGCTTCAAAGTCCAACTGTTGGGTAATCAAACGTTGCTTTCCTCCCCTAATTAACACAATCAACATGTTTCAGTATTTTTCTACAATAGATTTCTACATTTAACGTAAACACATGACGCACTATTATAATTTTAAAAAAATGTCAATAAAACGGGATTAATTCACACATTTTATTTATTGTTAATCAGCTTTTAGTTTTATGCTTTGAATAAAAATACATAAACACTCTCTTTGCTTTAACTAACTCCCTTTCCTTGTTGTTTTTACAGCACTAAATGTCCCCTGTTTAAGTCTTAAAGTGATCAGAGTTCACCCTAACAACAAATACAAACTTTGTATAAAAAATAAATTTCACAAACTTCTGCAAAGCTCAAAAATCAACTCACCGAGTGTGCTTCTCTGGTGAGTGTGTCCTGCAGTGAACAGAATGCGCAACAGTATCTGAATGTTTAGTAAACGCTTGGACCTTCAACCTTGAACCTTCATTCAGTAAGCATGGAGTAGACCTTACTAAGGCTGATTAATGTGGTATTTGACGTAAGGTACAGCTACAGCTATGTAAAAGTTTTTTTTATCCTAAAATCAATGCACACTTTTAAAAAAAAAAAGTTTTTTTTATGATTTTGGTACATAAATGAATGGTTAAATATGAATTGCCCAAAATGTGCATATGTACATGAAAAATAAATTGTTCTGACTTCCCTCAAAACTGTTTTGTCTGATGAGTTTTAGGAAATGTTATGTATTTTGTTTAATTAAGCATTTTGTCAAATGCCTTTTTATGTCTTTTCACATCTTAAAAGATAATTTCATGATTAATGGTTGGGGAAACTTTCCACCAGTGCAGAAGAAGGAAAACAACAACAATGGCCTTGATGATCTGAGGAGGTAACTTTTTACATAAATGGCCTCTCTCTGGGATGACTGTGTTTATTTGATTTGGCAGGTGTACGTGCGCTCCCTAAATAGATGTTGAATTTAGCCTAGAAAGAGGTATGAAGGCTGGGGAAACAGAGGTGACAGGGAGTTCCCTTGCATAATGATGTGGGGCTTGCTACGTGCAGTTTCTTTCCCGCTCTCTGAAAGCCGTATTGTTCCTCAGCCCACAGCCTGCATTTTGCTTGAAAAGGGAACAAAAAGCCCACCTGAAACGCAGAGGCATGGCGGTGTAAAAAAAAAAGAAAGAAATAAAGGAGAAGAAGAAAAGCGGCTCTGGGTTGTCCCTGTGCAGGCTGATGTCCTGATAAGAGAGACGCAACCAACCGTGGCCTTGCTCCCATCGGGTCAAAGCTAACAGATGAGTTGATATTGTCAACAATCTGGTTTGATCCGACCACCGCACTTCTGCGCCTGAGCTCTCACACAACAGAAGGAGAAATAAAAAAAGCCCCAGATTTGCCTTTGTACACACACATAAGCCCATTACAGTTGTCAAACAAAACACGGGAAAAGACTCCTGGTGAAATAAGGCATCACTATCAGAGCTTCCCAGATAAACCACAAACTGTGAAGCCTTATTATTCTCTGTCAGTCATCCACGAATGCTTTCAGCTCATGGCCATGACAGGCCCACCTAGAAAAACTCACTTCTGTATCAGCTGCCTGCATAGTAAGTAGAGTTTAAGGGTTCACTCTGCAATAAAGATGTGTCGTTTTGTAACAGAGGACTTGATATGACTTGGTATGGAAAGGTTCAACTTATGGGCTGTTTTTTCTGCTTAGCTGCAAGAGCTCCAAGTATTTATTCTAACCAGGTAATAAGCCTGATTTTGTCGCCTTATAAATCAGAACTGCAACAAAAATCTACACTGTATTATAACAATCATAGGGATTCAAGATTAGCTTGAAAAGGACTTTCATTTAAACTGTAAATCAGGAAAATCTGGCCATGTCAGCAATCAGTCTGACAGTCTGTATCTCATGTTAGAGTATCTTCTGATTCACTGAAACTAATGAGTAGTTCTGCAGGTTAACTTCTTCACAACCACTGTTTAGGGCCGTTTTTTCAGGCTTTGAATTTGGATGCATAACCACGACTAAGTCTAACTTTGGTGTAATGGTCATTTCAAACATCAATAGGAGGCAAGTGGGAGTCACCTAAAAGAGCATTGAACAGGAAAACACCTACCGCGTGGTATTAGACGTATTGTTAGAGGAAGTATCGTCTGAAAAAATTGTTTTCCAAAAGATTTTAGAAGTGTAAGGAAGGCGACTTTTTCTCTTCGGTGCTTTCCCCCCCCTTTATTGAACCAAACATGAGAAATTTGTCATGAGGCTGCCTTATGTGTAGAGATGGGACCTGCAGCCAACCTTCCTGACAAAAACATGGCCATAAAGAAGATGCACAGTGTAGGACTGTCCACTCATTTCAGTCAATTTTTTTTGTTTTTCAGTTATCCCTTTGGTTAGATACTAAATTCATCAGAAGGAATTGTCATGTCACTGAGTAGATATTTGCTCTTCATAATCCATGTTTAGTATCTACAATTTTCTTTCAAATCCCTTAAAAACCCCTTGATTTTGGTCATCCCTTTAAACATTATCTACACTCTCCAGAATTGTTCGTTTTCCGGATTTAAAAAAAACCCTCAAATGAACATAAAACAGTTTAACAGCTCTCATTCTGTGAATAGGGTCATCTCTGAATATGTTAATAGGCCCCACCCTACTTTGTTTATATTTTAGCACTTCAAGTACTGGGGTCATTCTGAACTGTGAAAAGAAGTAGTACTGTGGCATTGGTTGATAGTTTCAGACCGCCGTTAAAAGGGTACGTTGGTGGCATGACACAGAGAACATGTCATTATTAGCTTATTATAAAGAAGTGATGCATGCTGGGGAAATGTGATATGAGCAGGTTACATCAAAGACCCCTATGTAAGCCACCAGTAGCTGTGCATTCCCCTTAAAGCTGAAATGCTGCTGACATTTCTTTCTTTAATAGAAACCTTTGCTTTCTTAGATATTGACTAAAGCTTTTGAATCCCACCCCCTTAGAGAAAGTGTGAGCATATCTTTTCTTGAGAAACAATTTCAACATAACACCACCTCAATCCTGTCCTTGACCTTTGACCTTCCCTCCCTGTGTTTCATTCAGAACTAACCAAACAGACGAGCCTCCGACTCTTATCTGCTCCAAGAGATTCATGAACTTTACTAACAAAACATTGCTCAAAGGAAGAAAAAAAGGGTAGTGCGGTTTTGGTTCACTTTGGGTCAACCTGTTATCGCTTCGGATGACTTAATATCATGTGATGCTGTGGTCTCACTTTTAGCCAGCAGGTGGCGCCTCTAGAATGAATGTCAGGATTAACCTGAAGGGATGAGCTGTGGAGGAGGAGCTCGGGGAGGTCTGGATGCTTGACACCGAACGAGCTGAGATGTGTCTCAGAAAGAACTGAGGGAGCCTCACCGCTGGTCTGAAACAGATCCTAGTGGTTCGGGGTGGAACAAGCCAGAGCTCAAGATAATCCGCACCTCAAACCCAGCTCGCACGTTATGGCGAGAGCTCCCAGACACACCAGCATCTGTGTGTGTCTGAAGACGAGGCGAGGGCCTGTCTACCTGGCTTATGTCTGCTCACCTCAGACAGACCAAAACATCTTACGTAGGTAGATACGATCAAAGTTATTCCAAAACAAGGCCTCAATTAGTGTGCTTCTGAAACATCAGATCCTCTGTAATGTGTTTTGTAATATCTGCTAATTTCGCAAACGTTTCTGACAGGAAATCAAACACACCCTTTCATCAAATACTGTTAGTCATATATGGTCACTTGGTCATTGTGATGACTTCTACTACTGGAATAACCATGGCTTCTTCTGGAAGTTTGAAATGAGGTCATGTGAAAAAGAAAGTTAACCCTTAATTAAATCCGCAGGCTGTACATATACATCATGAAATAATAACCCGGTTGCCGGCCGTCAAAATGAGGTGAATTGCAATTTCACATAAATAACAACCGATGACATAAGGTGTGTGCACACGAAATGCAGAAAAACATTTGTGTAAAAACAAGTGCACTCATACTTCCTCTTTGGAAAGTAGGAGAACAAATTAAAGTTTTGCTTGGCAAATTTATCTGATTAACTGATCATCTTCACATGTAATCATCTGGCAGAATATTCAACAGTTTGCTGGTCTGGAGCATTCAGCTGGTTAATAGGAGGAAAGACATCTGAAATAATCCTTGAAAAAGGTATTTTTACAGAGCATCAATCTGGAAAGAATTTTGAGATCATTTCCAAGCTAGTTATGGTCCACCTTGCAACAGAGAGGAAAATAATTCCACAAGGGGATCATATTTCCAGAGTCAGGTCGTTCAATTATTTAAAAACCGCTAAAGACCAATTGCTTCATCTCTGACTCTATGAGGCTAACCTAGCACGTCAAATATTAATGTTCATGAGGGTAAATCCAGAAAACAATGAGCGCTCGTTTTTTGGAATGGTTTTACGAGAAACCCTTAAAAGAAAATGGTCTGTAAAGCTGCATCTGAAAAGAAACCTGTTTGATTGTTGTGTGCAGCCACACAAACACCTCACACAACTGTCAAGCACAATGGTGAAGGGCGGATGGTTTGGTATTTGTTTTTTGGCAGCCACAGAACCTGGAACTCCATGAACTCCCTTGTTTACCAAACATATTCTGAGATAGTGATCCCAAACACAGCATCAAATTGAAACAGAAAGTCTTAATATAGCAACAAAAAATGAGTTTGTTAAAATGACGTAAAGTCCCTCAGTCTGAAACGATGCAGTGGGATCTAAACAGAGAAGAAACA